TTTTTATTTTGAATAGGACACTTTATTGTGAAGGTAAAAGGAACAGGAGTTGGTTGGTCCATGGGAAAAACTCTTCTAACAGCTGGGCGAGAGAGTCCGAGTGGCTTCCCCTGAGCAAGGTGCAGCCTGCTGCGTGGGCGCATACGCCGGCCCGGGGGAGGGGGTGGAGATGGGCTCCTAGGGGCTGCAGAGCAGACACTGTCACCAGGGAGCCTCCGCGCCAGAGTGGCGGGAGGTCCGGTCAGCAACACGTATGGGAGGAAATGGTGAAAGGCCACCAGAAAGTCTCCAGCCACTCTTTTCCAAAGGAAATTGTTTTGCATAAAGGAACAGTGAAATAGTGAACTTTGGGTCCAGACTGGCAGGAACAGGTGATGAACACAAAATCTGACTTGCATCAACAAAAGGGAAAAACTATCATGTTAAGTGTTGTGGGAGACAATGTTTCCAGCTTGACATGAAGAAAGAGATGGGCCAGGGGATTAAAAATAACAATAAAGAGAAGCATAAATAAGGGATGTGTCCCTCCAAATAGCATAACATGAAATCAAATAAAGTCTAAAGAAACAAACAAAAAAACTCAAACTAGCAACGGCATTACAAACAATCCTCTAAGAAACAGGTTAGTATCCCTGTGCAAAGAGCCAGCAGGAACACGTGGGGCAGCTCCGTCTCTACCACTATGGCCACCAATGCCCCGACAGCCTCCAAGGGCCCTTTATCCCCTGCAGTGCTCAGCTCCCTGAGATGACGGGGATCCTTCTCCAAGCCCTCATCGCACACACAGGCCCAGGCTTGGCTGATTCTAACCAATTGCAAGAGGAAAGCAAGGACTAGGAAGACTGCAAACCCAGACAGCTGGCCCGAGAGGCAGGACACACACCTGTCTTAAGCATGCAGACTGCTACAGGTTCATCTCTTTCCCGGTTCCTAATATCATCTTTCATCTCTGTGAACTGGAGGTACCTCTAATCACACCATGAGTTCTCAAAGCTCAGGATAAAACAGAGAGATGGAGTCCTCCCTTCTACTCACACAGGTTTGGGTCATGCTTTGAGTCCTCTTCTTTCCTGGCCAGCTGAGAGGGGAGTGTTCCTTTCAGCAAAGGTCCACCTACCCCTGCAGAGTGAGCTGGCCCTTACCACCTATTCAGAATTACCATCTCAGAAAACGGTCAAGAAGACAAAGCTCGTGCAAGAGCAAGGCACGTGTGCTGGCCCCTGGGGTTGTTTTCTGGACACACAGCCCTCTGCCTGCCCTTGCTGTCAGCTGAGCACTGAGAGCCCCCACTCCACCCATTGGGGAGTGACGCCAGCAAGCAAGCTTCTAGTCCACGCTTAGGTGGTGGATGGGAAATTCAGTGCCAGGGGCCTCCAGGAATGTGGTTCTGCCCTCTGGGAACCCATATCCTTTCTGAGAAGACAAGACTGACCCAGAGAAAGAAGACAGAAATTAGAAACCATAGCCCAATGCTTTGGTCAGGTCTGAAAGGCAGGTGGCAGCAGAGCTAGGGCCTGGGATGTCCTGTGCACAGCTTGGCAGGGCCAGCAGCACACTGGGGAAAGCCTCAGGTCCTGCACTTAGAAGGGATTGTCGTGATGGAAAACGGGGGCCACTGCCCTGGGGCATCACTGGAGTCTGGGAGCAGGTCCCTCATGGGCCCAGGGAAGGAGGGGAAGGCTCCAGCTGTGAGCAGGTCCCTTGCTCTGAGACAGCTCCCTGGGAGAAGCCTGCAGCAGGCCTGGGCACGCGCCGATTGGGAGCGAGGGGAGGCGGGCGCCCTCGCTGTGATGGATTGCATCCACTGTGCCGCCGTCCCTCCTGCCGGAAGGGAAATGACTTAGAACAGGTACAAGAATTCAAACTGCCAAACTTCGTTTGCTTGGTGACTCAAGTTGTTTGTGAGCAGTCAGTTTGGGAGGGGCTTCTGTTCTCCAGGGGAATTACAGGGAATCGCGTCTGGCAAAGGCACACAGCGCCCTCTCAGCTGGGCCTGAGGGGCCTGGAGCTCGCGGCCTCAGAACCCCAGTGCTCCTGTCACAGCTGTATCTGTGAGTCATACTGCTTTCTTCACATTGTTCACTGGCACCTTGAACGGCCTCCCCTCATTGCACACCTCGCCCATCTACAAGGTGCAAGATTCGCCCCACACTTGTTCCAAGAAAAGCCAACCTTTTCCCCCAGGGCATCGATGACCTCTCACAGTTAGGGGCGTACTGCGCCACCTGCAGTTAGCAAAGAATTCAGGAAACCACAGTTCGCTCCAGTTTGCTGTGCAGAGCTGAGAGAAGGGGCTGGACAAGGGAAACACATCTGGACCAGCTGTGGTCAGTTCTTCCCTGGAGAAAGGTGCACCTCAGCTAAGAGGCTGCAGCCCTGACCAGGGGTAGAAGAGACAACAGGTTCCAAGATGGGAGGGTCAGAGTTGAGGGTTTCCAAGTGGAGGAATGAAGTGAACTGGTAGGCTGGAAAGAGGAGAGAGATGGTCCCTCTCCAACTCTGGGGTCCAGAACAGGAATTTCAGGATGGCACTGTGACCATTGCCACACATTTTAGAGCCTGGAGGGCTGCCTACCATCTGAAAGCCCATGGGGGCAATGACTGGAAGAGGACTTAAGGGCTGTCTAGAGCAGGCAAACTGGAGGGAGGAGAGTCCTGATTCAGAGCCCTGTGTTAGCTTCTGCCACTGCAGGCTGGCCAGCTGAGGCAGCAAAGCCACCATGAAGTGGTCGATTCTGGTGTTACACATGTTTAAATCACCTTGCCTGACATGAAGAACTGGTGCTAGGAATTGCCTCTTCCCTCTTTTCTTTGTTCTACAGAATGCTACATTTTTCACCCAGGTCTCGCTGATGATTCCTTCATCCATTTAACACTTGCCGAGTGCCTGCATCGTGCCCGGCCCTGCGCTGGGCACTGGAGACATCACAGCAAATGTGCGCCATCCTCACCCCACAGGAGCTCGCTGTCTGGAGCGGCAAATAGCACTGTGCACTGGAGGGTAGATGCTCAACTCGTCCTTCACATGCAGAATTGAACATCATGACCGGGCTTTTCTTTGCATACATTTAACAAGTACAAATTCTGTTAGAAAATTACATTTAAATATAGGAATAAAAATGCAATCACAAATCTGTAGGTGCCTCATTTGTCAAAGACAAAAAGAACATGGGGACTATTTTTCAGATATGGCTTTGTACTGTGCTTTTGCCACTTAAAATTTTGTCATGAGCATATTCCATGCTTAGAAAGCTTCTATATCCTTTCCAGCCTTCCAGCCTTCTATATCCTTTCCAGCCTCTTCCAAGGCCACATCTTCATTGGGGCTAAACCTTATTAGTTAAAAATAAAACAAGGTGAGTTCTTCTTTATTCAGATTTTCATCCATTCATTCATTCATTCATTCAATTATTATTTCCCGAGCGCCTACCGCTGAGGCCCGACACTGTCAAACCTGAGAAATTCAGTGGTGAACAAGACAGAATCCTGCCCTCAGGTCCTTAGGTCTAGTGAATTATGCCCGACCAGACCTCAGGCTCCCTGAAGTTGGGAAAACCTAGTTTCCCACTCTGGCTTGTCCCTCTTCCTATGTCTCTTGCTTGTTCCTAAACGGACTGACACAAAGACGACTCCACTTTGTTCTTCACCTCTCGTGTGTCTTACCTGTGTCTCCTCCACTGAGCATTTCATCTTTCCTACTTTGTTCAAAGGCAAACAACTCTGGCTGTCTCCAGAGGTGGATTAACTTACACTTCCCATCTTTGAAGTTTCAAGTTTAGGGGAGACCAGGTTGTACAGGGCAGGAGTGCTTTGAGAGCCGCCTTCTGAAGGGACTGATCCCAGGTGGCTCCTCAGGCACAGGTGTCCTTACTCTGTACCACGAGGTCCTGCCAGGCTGAGCCTGATGAGTTGGATTAGGAATGAATGCCTGATTAAAAGGAGGCACCCATTCAAGGTCTGGCCAGGGACCTCGAGGGCAGCCTGGCATTAGTCCACCCGGTAGGGAAGTGAGTGACTAACATAGACTCTTTCCAGGGGAATTTAAGAATAAAATATATGAGTGAGAGAGAGAGAGAGAGAATATAACAGGGACCCACAGCTTAAAAACACACTGAAAGAAAGCAGTAAGCTGCAGGCACAAGGGAGGTGACCCCACAAACACCACGGGCTATGAGTTAGCAATAGCCTGCAACAGCTTCAACCCAGCTGTAGAGACAGGGAGTAGTTAGGCAACTAAAATGGCGGCATAGAGATAATTCTACATCTCTGCTTGGCCGCCAGACCTATTGGCGTCACCACTAGAGCTATTATTCCATAAACCACTCAACTCTATGTAAGACCCATCTTGGCAGCAGTCCTTACCTTCCTTAGTTTCTTTAAGCTCAGGGATAAACTCTGTCATCTAAAGGTGACCTGAACATTTACTGTCTTAGCATCCTAAAAGATCTCTGAGCTGACACAAAACCCCACCTCCATCCAAAGCTATTGCTTCTTCATTTTCAGGGTCAACGTTTTAGAAACCTCTAATCCAGAGGCTGGACTCTGGCTCTTCCATCTCTGCCTGCACGTGCTCTGTGTGAGCACAAGGCACATGACGACCTTCCCCAGATGTTGAGCAGCGATGCAAAACTTGAAATGCATCAGCTAGACTCAGTACCCTTGGATGCAGTGAATAGGCTTGTTGGCAATTTCTCCTGAAGTGCTGTGAGATAATTACTATTGATTCAAAGATGTCATGAGATTTGAAAAAGGGAGCTCTGGACAAACTGTGCACATGACATTACACGAGATGCCTCTGCCACTTTTAGCTGTAAAATGGGGATACTATATCACATATGAGTTGGGAGAATAAACAAGCTACTCTATTTCTTGCAGCTAAGTTATGGCACTTTAAAAATTCCTCCTGTTACGTTTTGTAATGATTTGAGGACAAGTCCAGCACCTTCTACAGACCCGGCCAAGCTGCCTTTACACAACAAGACTGATAAAACCAGACCCACCTTGCCAGCCGGGCTTGCAAACTGGCTTCACGTCCACCTGCACCAAGGTGTCCTGAGCAGCGGGCTTCTGTCCACAGTCGTAGGCAGTGACCAGAATCTCATACTGGCGTTGCTTGTCATAGCTCAGCTTCTCTGTGTTCCTGATGTTGCCTAGGGAACATGGACATTCACATTCATTTGAGGTCAATCTGACCACATTGTACTTCCTCAAAATCCCTCCTCCATTCCACCAACCTTTGCAAGAATGAAGTGACCCATTTCCTTATCTCTTTGTGTCTCTTTGTACAAACAAGGGCCAATGGCAGTGTGGCTTCTGCCTGCAGCCTGCTTGTGCTTTGGTGGCAGATTCCTGGGAACCACTGGCTGGAGCCACCCAGCTGGGCAGTGGTACTACTGGGGAATTCTGAACACACACCTGGACTCCAGCTGGCCTGTATTTATTTATGGGTAATGGGTCACCAGAACACTTCCTCCTAAAGTGCACCCAGGTGGCTATGTCCCTGATGTAGGGCACAGAGAGCTCTTCTGCCATGAAAGCTCTAGGAAAAAGAGGGAGTTGAGAAAATGTCCTGACGCATATTTTTTAACATCTGGGTTTGTTTCCAGGAATGTTCACTGCCTCTTCTCACATTATTTAGCCTCCAAATAGGAAGTAAAATCGATAAGAAAATGTGCAACATCCCTTCTGAAAGCTACAAAGAATAACAGATTCTTTGCCTTGAAGAAGATATTCTTTTCTTCCCCAAGAGAGACCAATTTTTTTCTGAGCCATTTGTGTATTTTTGTTCCTGTGGATTTGATATTATGGTTTGGAAATAAATATTTGATAACTAATGGGCAAAATTTTAATTGACTATTTTTGCTGAAGTACAATTTTGATTTCAAAGAACTAGTAAAGACCCAAAGTGCATTTAATACTTTTAAGTTTTTGATTCCAAGAGATTAAAGTCTTCCTTTGCTGAGACTAATTTCTTTCCTACTTTTTTTTTTATGAGAGAATTGACAGTAAACTAGAACTCATATGTTATCATCATTTTTATCGGAAGTGAAATTAAAAAAATGGAAATTGAAAACCAAACAAATAAGTAAACAAACAGGGAATTGCCGACTCAGGCTTGTTTGTATATTTCATCAACACTAAAGGAAAATGACCTGAATGAACTTTCTTCCATTCTAATTGCAGTCTATTGTTCATGAGACTTGAGACAATGCAGATTATGACAAGACAGCCTGGAAAATTAGAAAAGTCATATAATGCTTTGAAGATTAGAAAAATTGATCCACCAATCACCTGGTGTTAGTGAAACAGTACTTAGTGCTAGGCCACGAGCAGGTGCTACACACCCGAGTGTGTGTCAGGGTGGGAAAGTGGAAGGAATAGAGGTTGGCTGATGTCCAGGAGGGAATATGAAGTTGCCCAAGACATTGCACCAAGAATTAGAATAATGTATTCTGCTATCTGCTCAGGACTGTTTCTAAAAATGCAACTGCCTCCACCAATTTGAGGCAGAACTTAGTTTAACAAAGTCAGTCAAAAATTTCTGAATAAAAACGAGTGTGATGTATTTTTGGCTTTGTGGCTTGTGTTCAGAATCCCTTTCACTGTACCCCAAGTGTTTGTCTCATTCTCAGTGCTGGGCCCTGCACAGGTCTGGAATGGCTCAGTGTTGGGTGGGTAACACTCCCCATGGATTCTGTTAACAAACTTATTTGCAGTTATAGCCATCACAGGGGAGGAATTCTGTCGGTTGGAAGCACTTTAATATAGCCATGAGAAGTATATTTCTGCAACATCAAATTGAATTTTGAACAAAAAGTTTTAACTTTCTTTTTCTTTAAAGTTAAATGGCTCTCAAAAGATACACCTCTTAGAAGAGGAAGGCCCAGGGTCTGCAACACATGTGACATTAAGCAGACCAAACACTATCGATTGTGGTAGAAAAATAAACCCACAAGCTGGATCCTTGGCTTGGTTTGTTGCCACTCTAATTCTGCAACAAGTCTTAATGAAACCATCTGAGAAACTAATTTACTTTCTCCACCACCAACAACTTCATACATGTGAAAATGAGTTTAAAAGCACAGAATTAGAAGCATTAGGTTGAAAATGAGTATAATATTGTGACCAATTTTTGTGTGGGAGAAGGTCATATTTGGATAAGCCACACATTTAAAATTTTTTGAAAGCTCAGAAAAAGCGTTCATTTTGCCTCTGTTACAATTGCATTTTTTTCCTCCAATATTTGAGTGATTTTTTTCCTACTAATGTCTTCTCAGGAGACCTGAGCCCACAGTTAATTCAGGTGAGCTGCAGTCCTGGCACCTGTTTCTCCAGGTCCAAATGGACCCTGGAAGAACAATCAGTACCTACCTTGCATGTTAGTGAAGGTAATTTTTTTGAAGAATCTGAGGGAGTGGGCGTTGGGGGGTGAGATAAACACACTTAGCAGTACCTTCCTCCTGGTGGAATTTACATTGGACAACACTTCTGGAGAGCTACTTGCAAATATATGCCGGTTGCACTGGAATTGCTCATACCTTTTAGGCATGCAATTCCTCATCTAAAAGTTGATCCTGGGAAAATGATACAACTTGCAGATATATGGGCAAATATGCTCATCTATTATTTGTTACACTAAAAAAAAAAATAGTCTGATAGTAAAGGAATAGCTAAGTATAAAAGTTTATGCATAAAATGAAATGCTGTTCAGCAGTAAAAGTGGTGATTATAAATAACTTTTAAGAATGGGGGGAAATACATATAATCAAATGTTAAGTGCATAAAGGAAGGACAAAGACAAGAAAGGATAATGTGGCCTTAATGTTGTTTAAAAACTTCACAGAAGAACTACTGGAAATAGGGTAAATTGTTAATAGTGGCTATCTTCGGCAGCATTATGGGCGGCTTATTTCATTCTTCATACTTTTCTGTGCTTTCCAAATTTCCCACACCAGGCATGCATTACTTTTCTATTCGGAGAGGAAAGAAGCATTTTCATTCACTTTAAGAATAAGCAGAGACTTCGGGACACGCTTAGCTCAGAAGCGTGGGAGTCCTATCACTTACTAGGGCAGCCTCTGACAGAGCCCGACTGAGGCTGCATGAAGACCAAGCAACTGCTTGAAAAGCAGCAAAATCTGCCAAGTGGTAACTGGGCATCATCGGACCCTGCTGCTCCTTCGCTGTCACTCCCCGACACGGCTGAGTGGTTGGCTTGTGCCAGACGCTCTATGAGTGCCTTGTTGGCACTAGTTCAGGTAACCATCACATTGCACAGCTACATTATTTAACTCCCATTTTTACTAGTAAGGCTCTGAGACAAGGTTCAGATAACTTGACTGCACAGACATACGCACGCACACATCGGTGGATGTAGGATTAAAACACACATTGTGAGATTTTTTTGCCAGCTTTATTGAGGTATGATTGACAAAAAAATTGTATACATTTGTCATGTACAACATGACATTTTAATATGTGCATACATTATGAAATGACTAATAAGCTATTTAACATACGTGTCGTCTCACATAGTAACCTTTCTTGTGTGGGTGGCCGGAGTACTTGAGATCTACTCTCAGCAAATTTCAAGTATTCAATACATTATTCTTAACTATAGTCACTCTACTGCATATTAGGCCTTTAGTACTTATTTGTCTTATAACTGAAGGTTTGTGCCCTTTGACAAATATCTTCTCTTTCCCCCCACCCCTAGCCCCTGGCAACCACCGCTTTACTCTATTACTATGAATTTGATCTTTTCAAGATTTCACATATACATGAGATCATGCAGCATTTGTATTTCTGTGTCTGGCTTATTTCACTTAGCTTAAAGTCCTTCAGGTTCATCCAAGTTGTTCGGAATGGCAGGATTTACTTCTTTCATAAGGCTGAATGACACTATATTGTGTGTGTTTGTGTGTGTGTGTGTGTATCTCTCACTTTTTTTTTAATTCATTCATCTATTGACAGAAACTTAGTCTGTTTCCATATCTTGCTACTGTAAATAAGGATGCAATGAGTGCCAATATCATCTCAAGATAGTGATTTTTTTTTTCCCATGGATTAAAAAAATGCCAAAAGTGGAATTGCTGGATCACATGGTAGTTCTATTTTTAATTTTTTGAGGAAACTCCATGATGTTTTCCATAATGGCTGTATCAGTTTACATTCCCCCAACAGTGTACAAGGATCTCTTTTCTCCATACTTTCACCAACACTTATTTTTGACTGTTTGATAATAGCTACCTTAATAGTTGTGAAATGATGTCTCATTGAAGTTTTGACTTGCATTTTAGTGATATTAGTGATGTTGAGCATCTTTTCATATTCCTCTTGGCCAATTGTATGTCTTCTTTGGAAAAATGCTCATTCAGGTCCTCTGCCCATTTTTAAATAAGGTTATGTGTGTGTGTGTGTGTGTGTGTGTGTGTGTGTATGTGTTTGCTATTGAGTTGTAGGAGTTCGTTACATCTTTTGTATGACTCCTTATTGCTTGTATGATTTGCAAATATTTTCCCCCATTCTGTAGTTTGCCTTTTCGGTTTGTTAATTGTTAATTTCTTGTTAATTTTGTTAATTTCATTTTGCCTTTTCTGCTTTGCAGAAGCTTTTTGCTTTGATATAGCCCCATTTGTTTTTTCCCTTTTGTTTCCTTTGCTTTTGATGTCAAATCCAAAAAATCATTGCCAAAAACAACATCCATGTTTCCCATGTTTTTTCCTAGGAGTTTTGTGATTTCAGGTCTATGTCTTTAATTCATGTTGAATTGATTTTGTGTAAGAGAAGGGTCCAATTTCCCTCCCTCCCTCTCTCTCCCCTTCGTTCCTTGCTTCCTTCCTTTTTTTCTCTCTTTCTGTCTCTCTTTCTTTTTTGCTTTTGATATTCAGTTTTCCCATTGTGATTTATTGACGAGTCTATTCTTTTCTCATTACATTTTCTTAGCGATTTTATTGAAAATTAGCTAACCATATGTGTGTGGATTTATTTCTGGGCTCTCTATTCTGTTTCATTGGTTTATACATCTGTTTTTATGACAGCACCAAACTGTTTTGATTACTATAGCTTTTAATATAGTTTCAAATTAGGATGTTTGATGCCTCTCAGTTGTTCTTCTTGCTTAAAATTGCTTTAGCTAATCAGGGTCTTG